CCCCCCCAAGGATCTAGTTTGGAAAAGCAGCCCCTCAGCCCCTGAAGCGTTCTCGGCTGTCACGCAGGAGGCCTTGGGGGGACCTGTGAGCTGGTGCTGAGATGGTTAAGGGTGGGGGACGGTGCACAGTTGGTTGACTGCTGTTTTCAGCCCTCCTTACCTTTTTTTTTTTTAATATATCTTTATTGATTTCAGAAAGAGGAAGGGAGAGGGGGAGAGAGAGAAACATCAACGATGAGAGTCATTGATCGGCCGCCTCCTGCCCGCCCCCGACTGGGGATCAGCCCCGCAGCCGGGGCCTGTGCCCCGACCAGGAATCAAACCATCTCCTGGATCCTAGGTCGATGCTCATCTGCTGAGCCAGGCCTGATGCTAATTTTTTTAACCCATATTTTTTAGATTTTTTTTTTTATTCCACTGATTTTCAGTAATACCAGGTGGTATTTCTCCCCCTTCTTGGTAGTTTTGTTGGTGTGTCCCCGAGGTGACATTAGAGGCTTAAACATGGAGTTGGCGGTCGTTTCTCCCCTAGGTGTTTTATGCTCATGTCATCCCACTAGTCAGTTAGGAAAGCTCTACTATTTAAATATAACTATTACTAGCAACGCATTCTAAGTTGCAGTATGAATATTACTAAAACAGCAGCAGTGATTTCAGGCTCCAAGATAAAAAAGCAGACAGTGGACCAGAACATTTCACACGGCCCGGTGGGCCCGCGCTCGGGTGGCGCTGAGGGAGGCCCGTGGGCTGCCAGCTGCTCGAGGGTCGGGCTGGCCAGCAGCTGGAGGGGCACTGACCGGCCGGGGAAGCTTCTTACACCCAGTGAGCGCCACGCGGAGACCACGCCTCCACACCGCGGTGTCCTCGGCCTGCGTGAGGCTGGAGGGACGACTTACTGCCCCTTAGCGAGGATGAGAGTGGGGAGGGAGGCACTCGGGGTCAAGTGTAATTACATGGAGAATTTTCCGTATTCTGCAACTGCTCAGCCCGGCGTCCACCTCGCGATTTCTGAAGCTGCACCTGCTTTCTCAGGTTGAAGTAAAGGAAGGAGGTGGAACTATTGCGAGTGAGAACCCCGAGGAGGCCGCTCTGCAGAACCCTCTGTCCCAGGAGTCCTGCAAGTTCCCGTCCTCGCAGGAAGCGGAGGACACCCCGGGCGGCTCTCAGAAAGACCCGAGCCCCATGGTAATCGCCCCGAGAGAACGGGCTGTTCGCGTGCCCCTCGGCCCTTATGATGAGTTGCGGAGCCAGCCGCGCGGGTCATCCCATCACTGTTTCTCATTCTGTTTCATTGTGGAATCTACACTGTTGGTTGTCTCCTCAGAGGGACATAATTGGAGCCTTCCTCGTATTTGTCTCACCTCTGAGACTCTCGTTTCTCCCTGATCCTAGCAAGTTAGACAACAATGAGGACATTGCTGTATTTTTAAGGATGGTGACCACAAATCACAGCAGCCAGTGCTGACCCGGGTAGGCTGTGCTGACTGATGTGACTTGCGGTTACTATCCAAGTTTTTAATTATTCTGTTAAAAATAATAAACCCAATTGCCTCTAGGACTCCGGTCTGGCAGGGAGGGGAGCCAGGGAACCCGCCTCAAGCATTCCCTGGGCAAAGAGCCCAAACAACCAAGATTGCCTCCTCCCAGCAGCTCTTTATTCTGGGAAAGGAGGCCTTTGCCCTCAGGAAATACTTGACAGTGAGCTCGCTGTGAGCTGGGCTTCGCTCTGGCACGCGCCGGTGCTCACCTCCCCGTCCAGGGTCGCTGCAGGCCCCCGGGGTCTGAGAGCAGAGCTTGCCTGGGACACGCGGACCAGGTGAGCAGGCCTCCCCCAGTTGCACCAGACCCCTGAGTAACGTGAGCACTCGCCCAGGGCTGTGCAGTGGACAGAGGCCGGAGGAGCCCGCTCAGCTGTGTGCGTGCGCGTGGGTGGCTCTCACTTAATCCTTCAAATACACATAAAATTCCCACTGAGCGCGAGTGGCTGCAGCCTCTCATCCAGTGTCAGGGTGGCGAAGCTTTGAGGCAGGATCTGCGCCTCCCTGACACAGGCTCTGAGTGTGACTTTGTAACATTGATCCTTTAGCTTCAGGTTTCCTGCCTGGGAAGCCCAAGGCACCCTAAGGCTTTGGCACAGCCTCTGCCCGTGTTTGTGGTTCTACCATCGGAGCTGGAAGCTGTGTGTGGGCAGAACCCCGCTGCTGCCCTTCCTTGGACGGCTGCAGGCAGCGAGGGCTCCAGCCGCGCTCCGCTTGACTGACTGACGTGATTGGCTGGGGGTTTATTTATGGTCAGAATCCAGCCAGGTGGCCTGAGGGTGTTGGTCAGGCCCAGGAACACTGATGTGGCTTCTTAGAATGTTCCAGTTCTTGGATTAACCTTTCTAAGCTGTACTTGTAGGAAATGAAATTAATAGACATTTTTTTTAAATCCTATGTGTTAAATAACAAAACATGCCTATGGCAGGAGAGAACAGTTGTCATGAAATTAAAGAATATTCTAAGTATATGGCCACGAAATTAAAGAATATTCTAAGTATGTGGCCAGCTACAGAGAGAGAGTCGGGGGTGAAGTCTTTCTTAGAATTAAGTGGACCTGAGTGGGGCCGGGTCAGGCAGCCTGGCAGGGCAGGAACCTCATTCGCCCGCACGCTCCTCACGGGACATTCCCTCCAGAGAGCGTGTGTAGAGTAAGAAATGGAGAACAGGTCTCCGGTCTGCTATTTTCTGTGAAAACGTCAATTCTGGACTAAAGCTTGTTCTCAGATTGAAGTTTCTGCCGTTTCTGTAGCTTCATTCCTGGGGAGCTTGCACGAATGAAACCTGACCATATTTTTCTTTTAGGTGCTATGTCAGTTGAAAGGGGGGACACAAATGCTGTGCATAGACAATTCGGGCACGAGAGAACTAAAAGCACTCCATTTGGTTCCTCAGTATCAAGACCAAAATAATTCTCTACAGTCAGGTACAAAGTAAATTAATTTAAAAATTATGTCATATCTATAAGTTGGTAAGTGAATATGTTCTGCTTTGTATATAGAATAAAAGTGAAATAGGTAGTTAGGGTATTAAGTAGGCAATTTGGCAAACTTCATATTCCATACTAGTGAGCTAAGAATAGAAAAATATCTTTATAGACTAATTTATGTGTGTTGTATTGGGGTAGCCGTCCTCTGCTTCGGCCAGCTGCGGGGAGGGAGCTCTGTGACCCTAACAAGCGGGTGTGCCTAGAGGCGCCTGGTTGAAACAACCACCTTCCCAGGCTAGGTGGAGGTTGACCGCTCGGGTGTGGTACCACCTGACGTTTAATGTAAACGTTTCTGCATAATCACCATGAGTTCTGAAGTAACTGATCAAATGCTGATTGTCTGACATCCATTTACTCAGACACTTCTTCAAACTGGCGCAGCAGGAGTCAGTGACGTACAAGTGCTTGGCAGTCCTGAAATGCCTTGTGCATGACCAAGGAGAGATTAAATGGAGGAGCTTTAGGGTTGTTTACAAAGGTTAGACACAGGTTCTTGCAAACTGGTTGTTTCTATGTGGACTGTATATGTAATTGCGTTACTCTAAATCGTGGGTTAACCAGAATATTTCCTTATCATATGGTTCACTGACGTTGCTCATAACTTAAATCAACATTACACCCAGGTATCATTTCACCTGGGGCCCCTTTGGAGTCCGGGGCAAAATGAAACATTGTGACTCCTGTTCCACCCTGATAGTCCCTTTCATCCAGGGACAGCCAGATGCCTTCAGGACATCGCCCTTCTCCCGAGGCCGAAGCAGGGCTGGGTCTTGGCCCGCAGCGCGGAGTCTGGGCTCCACCCGCGGCGGGTCAGGGCCGCACGCGATCCTCCCGCCGGCAGGG